ACCACATTTGCTTATGCACCCATTTGTCTTCAGTGATCGTATTATGGAAGAGAGCACACAATGATATGATGGTTTGTTCTTTGGTGCCTGATCCCTGATCCCTTTGACACCTCGTGATCACACAGGCTGGTGTGCTTCGTCCATGCTCTGCTCTTAAAAGTCACTATGTGATAAAAGCAACTCAGCAGCAGTAGGTATGGTTTGGATTGTTGGTTTGATATTCTTAGTACCTAGCACATATTGACCTGCTGCCTAAGACATCTTTAACGACTAAGGTGTATCTGACCGAAGCCTTAATCACTCATAAGCATGTGAACATTGGACATTGAATTAGGAAGACCAAAGAAGAATCAATGCATATTTGAATTATGGTGCTGGTGGAAAATCTTAAAAGGACAATGAACTGTCAAAGGAACAAAAAGACCAGTCTTGAAGGAAGTAAAGTCAGAATGCTTCTTAGGGGTAAAGATGGCGAGGCTTCGTCTTACCGACTTTGGACATGTTGTCAGGAGAGACTAGTCCATGGGAAAGGACAACACACTTGGTAAAGCAGTTGTTGTTGAAACACTACAGAGCCCTCTGCCATCCTCACAATTGTTCCTATGCTTGAACCCACTGCTGTAGGCACTGTGTCAATCTATCTCCTTGAGGGCTTTCCTTTTTTGCTTTCCCTCTACTTTACCAAGCATGGTGTCCTTCTTCAAGGGCTGGTCTCTCTTGACAACATGTCCAAAGTATATGAAATGAAGTCTTACCTCCTTTCCTTTAAAGAGCATTTTGGCTGTCTACGGTACTTTCACAACTCTTCTCCAGCACCACAATTCAAATGCATCAATTGTTCTTGGGTCTTCTTTTCAACATCCAACTTTCACATGCATATGACAGAGGGGCAGAGCAAAAGAGGAAGACCTTGGACCAGATAGATGGGCAGTGGCTGCAACAATGGGCCTAAGCATAAGAACCACTGTGACGATGGCACAGCACTGGGCAGTGGTTTGTTCTATTATACCTAGGGTCGCTATGCGGCGAAACCAAGTCAATGGATGGAGCCTAACAACGATGACAGCACACACTGGCACTTCATTATTAGTAGGTATACTAAGGGAACTTTGATTTATGAATTAATCTGATAATAAAACGATAATTTTGATAGCATTTTCTAGGCCTGAATATTAAGGGAAAAGAATGACAAAAATAAAGAATTTCTAAGACCTAGGATTATTATGCTACAATCATTGCTCACCAAGATGTATGCTTTCCCGTCATGACCTTGAATAGTAAATCTAAAAGTGCTTCTAGCAGCAGCGAGTTCCACCAGACACTGGGCAATAACACGCTGTACAAACAGAAACCTGTTTTGAACAAAAATCAATTTTCACAATGTGCTTTTCATAATAACAGTAACCAGCAAGAAGAGCCAAAAATATTCACAAGGTACCAAAAGGGAGGCATCTGTATGCCAAGCTTTTCTGTATACTGCTCATGCCCTCACAAAACAAATTGTGTTAATACGGATTTTAATATATTTCAAGGTATTTGTGTGTGCTCTATTCTTCTTAAGCCACATCTTCAATCCTTAATATATCTTTTTCCAATCCCTCCGCTTATGTAAAATATCTAGAAGATGCAAATGTAAAATAAAGACAAAAGTTAACTACTGTTTGCCAGGCTTTAGTTGACTACAGTGGAGGAAATGAAAAGGAGGAAATTTCCCACGTAAAACCTAGGCATCCCCTCCTACTGACACCATGTTAGAATAAGGCTGTATTCCATTTGTGTTGGAACGTATTAAATAGTGGATAACTAAGTTACAAGGAACCTGGTGACATGCTGGTTACACGTTGGGCTGTGACCTGCAAGGTAAGCAGTTCGGAATCACCAGTGCTCCAAGAAAGAAAGACGGGGCTTTCTATACCCATAGAGAGTGACAGTCTCGCCTTTTCTGCCATATTGGAGACTGTGGAGGGCTGCTGGGAACAGGACTTCTAAGCAGCAAATATCGGGAAGGTTGTGGTCCAAGGCCATTTTTGCTGGCTAAGACAAGGTCTCTGGAACCAGAGAGAACACTCAGCTCTTCTTAAAACTGAAGGTATTTTACACCTGAGATGAAATTGAACTCTATTTAGGATGTGCTTAAGTGAATGAAGCAGAGAACACAATGACTCCAGGCGGCAAGCCTAACAAAACCAGTGTCAACCAGGGAAAGGTAACTCCAGCCCATGGAAACAGTGGAGTGGTTACTATAGGACACAGAATCCGTGTGATGCCGTACTCCTCAAGATCAAACTCGTTGAAAAGCCAATAACTAAAACTGTATTCGTTACTTATTTTTTTGTTTTTATTTAATCACTTGGGAAATCCTTAAATTGTTTTTTAAAAAGAATTACAGTCTTGACTCAAAGGCAGTAAATTTGAACTAAGTTAAAAAGGAGGGTGAGAAATTTTCTCCCAAACATTATATATACAGTGTTGTCTACAATGTTTTCATTGGAATTTCCTAAAAGTATCAGCTCGCAGGTACAAAATAAATGTATTTATTGGAAGGTAAAATTTTAGTCTATTTCAGGCTTCCATTCATTTTTAGATATCAATAAATAGACTGCAACATAAGTTTATTTCAGTTGATTTCTGTTTGAAACAAAGAAAATCAAAGAAAATAAATACTAATTTGGAGACTAAGAACCATTTGTAACATAGGAGCCCTTTGAAAGCTGATCCATGTTCCAAATTTTAGTTAAATTAAAGTAAAAAATAATTAAAGGCCCACTAAAGATTAAGTTGTAAGGGCCTGAATATCTGGCATATAAGGAAAAAAATAACAAAACTTTTCTGAATTAGTAGAATTCATGAATACCTGTATCTATAATTTTTGTGGGAACTGTATTTTGTGGGAACAAAATAAATACCTCCTCAAGTCTTTTATATGTGTGTTGACTAAAATATCTAAAAGTCTTTCTCAAAAGATTTCCCCCCCTTTTAAAATAAAGGGAAATATACATAAAAATGAATTCCCAAGTAACTAGTTTTACCTACTTACTCTAAATTTGAAATAACAGTAAAGTTAATCTGCTGTTGGTACCTTGGTAGAATGGGAACCTTTCCCTCAGATGGTTGGATAATTATCTCTGTCATATATAGCTTCGTGGTTTCTAGAAACAAAAGAAGAAAATAAAGACAATAAACTAATATTTTTACTATCGGCATGTTAGCTGCAAATTATAGTTTTTCAAATAAACTGCTCAATGTACTGGTAAAATTAATCTTCAGTAACATTTTTCCAAAAAGAATTGATTCCTAAAGACTAACTACTGCTGACTACAAAGACATCGTTCTGAGGTGACAGGGTCGGTTTAGAGCAGGTCTGTTGCAGCAGCTCTGCTTACAGATAGAGAAAGTATGCTAATTAGTTATATCACACTCATGGGCCACTTACCAGAAATCAGGACGTTAGTGTCATTTCTCCAGGATAGCTAGAAACCTGACAGTCCCTTATAGAAACTGACAGTCCCTTATAGAAACTGACAGTCCCTTATAGTAAGTTTCCCAAAGCCCAGGCCAGGCTACCACAAACCTCAAATTAGTCTTTATCTAGAATAGCAATCGGTTAACATACAATTCTCACCATGCGTGGTTGTTGATTACTTTCTTTATAGCAGAATTTAAACAGCAAGCTAGTTAATAGAAATGAAAACAAGACTCAAGCATTTGTGTGTTTTTTTAAATCTATGGAAAATATGTAATTTCACTAATGAAGGAAATGGAAATTAAGTTTATATTAAATCTTATAGCAATCCAATTAAATATTTTAAGTGACAAGGCATAGTAATAATGAAGATGTGGATAAATGAGTATATATAGTCATATTACCAGAATTAAAAATGAGCCCTGAAAACTCATTTGTCAAAGACCTCAAAATTGTGTGCACATTGTTTCCCCCAGCAGTTTTATTGGCATTTAATTTACATACCATACAATTCAATAGTTCAGTCGTACAATCATATCAAGAATTGTACAATCATCGCCACATCATTTTAGAGGACTCCCCTGGACCCCCCCATCCCTGCCCGACCTCCCCATTTCCGCCCCAGTTAATTGCTTTTAAAATGAGTTGTGCAATCACAATCTGCTCTAGTGTGCCCTCCCCCTACCACCTTCATTATTTACTCCCGTTGCTACCCCTGAATTCCCTATATCTCCTTGTTATCTGTTATTATCATTATACATCCATTCCTCCTGTGCTCACAGCTGGGAGACCCAACAGAAAACAATAAAATACAAAATTCGGATAAGGTGGTATCGTTAAAAACATAATAGTATACAGACAAAAATAATAGTATAGAGACAAAAATACAAATAACGCATAAGAAGGAAAA